GCAACATCTGCTTCATTTCATTGTGATATACAGTTCCAACAGGCTGAGCATGAGCTGTACTTGTACCGCTGAGACACCCCGATCGTGGTCCAGAAATGCGTAAAAGACGAAGCGAAACTCGAGAGAGCATCGTGTGTGATGTTGTTAATCGGAGCAGAAGACTTCAAGCATCGACTGTGGTTGATGCTGCTTGGTGTTCTGAGCCGAATGCTCCTATTCAAGGTGGCAACAAAGCTTCGAAGCCGTTGAGAGCAATTGATCCAGCCCCAGGTATCGGGAAATAATGTTGGATGTCAAAGATATTTCAGACGGCAATGGAGTGAGGCATAATGAAAGAGATATGCGATGAAATGTGGTTTTGGTCTAAGCCTGATCAGGTCATATCACATGATTAAGCCTTGGCAACTGAGCCACTCCTCCTATGGATGTTGAGCACAATTTTCAGCAACACCTCGCTTGAATGTTGACATGATGCTTATCGGTGAAGATACGTACTATCACTCAAGTCTTTCGTCCATCATCCGACTATGGCGGAGACACTTTTGGCCCTATGCTTTATATATGTTCGCATTCTGATCAGCGATTCAGCCCCGCCTAGATCCTAATTTCTAGACTTTCTTCAACCCGACATCATGCTTTCCATTCTGCGAACCTCAGCTCCTCGACCGACAAGGAATGCCACAAAATATTCTATGCGCTTTGAAAGTTGTCTCCTCTTGATTTAATTTCACGCACCTGGCTCTCAATTCGTCATGGCACTAATCGGTCAGGAGAGACTTTTTTAAAACATGTGACTTCTACACGCAGGATAAATTGGTCTACATGTTTGCCCTTGGAGAGCAGAACTAACTGTACTAAAGCATTTCGGTTCGGTTTTGAGCCTATCTCCAACGGATGGTTTAGAAAAGTAGTCACAATTAGACCTGAACCAGCTATTGAAAGCGTAATGTAGTAAAAGTCTCGTGAAAGAGAGCCTTTCAATTAATCATTTTCTTTCGGCGACATTAACTGCCGACCGGCTTCCATCAAGTATGGTCTATCTCTTATCCTTTCGCACAGCAGAAACAAAGGCCTGTGATGGTATCTCGGAAAAGTTTGACTAGTATTTACTTCAAAACAAATGCGACTTAAAGGCGAAATCCCAAAGAATCTATGGCAGTGTTAACGACTTTTAGACATCAGTAGATTGCTAACTTATATTAGTTGAAATGAATACTAGAGATTTTAACAGTCCTACTAACTCCCCAGTAATAGGTATTCGTGACATTGGTAAAGTAGTAACATGACTAAAGCTAGACTATTCTTCTCGATTATACTACTGGAATTAGAAGAGTCCTTGAAGTTCCATGAAGTAGAAAAACAAGACACGCTTTAAAAGAGTCTTTAACTTGAATCCATCTGTCAGAGTTCAAGATTTCAGGAAGAAAAGGCGGCATTGTATGAGGAGGCAGATGCAACCCTGATAACCTTCCGACCTAAATCTGATTTCTGCTGAACCGACATTGACTGTTTACGGTGGAAACAAAGCATATTGATTTGGACTCTCAGAAATGTTACGAAATGATTTATGACTTTGAATCATTAGCTCAGCATCGTCAAGCGCTAATAGATTTAGCAAACGCATCTCCATTCGGTTTTCTACCAAGGTACTCTTCCAAGAATCCCATCTCACGTCCGCTTCCACCTCTGCCAAGAACTGACTTTCTGTATTTCCGTCCTTCCTCCCTATTCATCGGATCGTGGGCGAATCGTGTCTGGTACAGGTCACTCGAGTAAACAGACGCCAGGACATATGTGTAATATCCGGCGTCGTAGCCTCCAAACATGTGCGAGAATCTACTGTATCCAACACCTCCAACTTCAGGACCGAGTAGACCGGTACACTCCTGGCGAATGCCGTTATATAAGTCTCCTATTTCCATAGTCTTTGCTTTTTCGCTTGACACAGAGTGAATCGCCATGTCAAATTTTGAAAATGCAATTTGTCGTTGTGTCAACGGAGCCAAAGTAACTCTGCGACTCGCATCCAATTTCTGCAGGAGCTCAAGTGGTGCTTTCACTGATGGCTTTGGCTCCAAACGTTTGTCGGTCTTCCATGAAGCCATATACTCAGGTGACAGATGCGAGTAATGATCTAATGTAACAGGAGAGTCAGTACTGACCATATCAAGAGTGTTTTAATGAGAGGATAAGTAATGTCACAAGATTATCCTGAGGTATTCATGAGAGAAGGACAATAATTTTCGCAGAATGATTTTGGGATTTTGAGATTTGTGAGACAATGATGACAATGTCCCGAATGATCTTGCGACATTCAGAGGAACAAAATTCCGGGTTCTCCCATGACCTACTGGATAGTTTTTGGAGTATAGCAGCATCCCAGCAGAAGTTTTCAAGCATGCGACTCGGGATCTCGACGAAATCTCTGGACGTCTTTGTACCATAAGTCTCTGCAAATCTAGTCCTGCCGACTAAACAATGAATTCCGTGTCCAAGTTCGTGGAACATGGTCACAACGCTTCGATGCCGCAGCAGTGTTGGTTTCATATCTGTTGGCCTCTGAACAGACATTACTAGTAAAGCACTGGGAAATTGGCTTCCACCATCGATTGTCTCGAAACCCTGTCTTTTATCAGCCAATATGCATGTAGTGAAACTTGAAACCTTACAGGTTGGAAAGTGATACAGCAAGCATGGTCTCTCTTCCCCTTTCTCTTCAATATATCAAGGTATAAATATCCTAAGAAGCCACCCCCCAGAGCTTCCTCATCCCAGACTGCGTAAACAGCCACATCTTCGTGCCACGTTATGTGCTCTTGCTTTTCCATCATGAGTTCTCTTGACTTCTCTGAAAAGTCAACAAAGACCACTCCAAACAAAATCTCGAAATTCTCCAGTAATCCTCGAACCGTCTCATCTAAGCGGAAAAACTCTGCAATTTTGTTCTGATCCAGATCATGTTCCTGCTCCTCGAGCAGCCGCATGTAAAAAAGCTGATCCCATAAGAATAGTCGGTCGTCGATTTCCCCTTCTTCAAGACCCTGTGAGACCAGGGTTTGTCTCTTGAGCTTTCTCAATTTCTCCATGTTCGACTTTGAAGCTACTGCTGTCTTGTCTTGCATTTCGTCAAGGAAAGACTTTACTCCCTCGTGGGTCATCAGCCGATTTTGAATTGTCAGATCGGCATGTGACTTGTATCCCAATAGCTCAGCATGTTCCGCCCTCAGTTCTACCATTTCCCGAAACAAGGGTACATTATCAGCACACTTCATCTCATTGCTCATGAAAATCTTTTTTCTTGTCTCAGGATTGACACAATTCTTGCATACAAGGTCAAGATCCACCGTCCCGTAGGTGACCTTGTATTTCCCCTCGCGGTCCCCCTCCCCTTTTTTCAAAGTCGCAAGAGCATCAGGAGGAAATCCCCTCAGTTCTGCAGCCGTAAACCAAATCCCACCATTCTCCTGGCGAATTCTCTTACTGCCTTCAGCCTCAATATCGTCAAGTCTCGCCACAACATCCCGGAACCTGTCTTTTACAGGTCCATCTAAAAGTGCTGCACCGCTCCGTACCAATTGGCATAGCTTTCTATCCAGGTAATATTGCTCCTCTTCATCCAATCTTTCTCCCTTCTCCTTTACCGCCTGGAATAGCTTGTAGATCTCAGGCCTAGCCGTAATTTCCTGCCCAAATTCGGAGAAGATCTTCATGCAATCCACCGATGCATCCCTTAACTCCTCGGAAGGAGACACGGATTTGAAAAGCGCAACGAGAGAGCTTGTCTTCATGCGCGTGTTGCGATCGTGGATCCATGGAAGAACAAAGTTTGCGAAAGTGGCTTCTGAAGGTGGGATATTGACGATAAGGGAGTTGAGAGTTGCTCGGGATGTGACGATTGCTGCTTCTGTAAGCCTGCGCAGGTCTGAAGGGGTTTGGTTGAAGACCACGGGGAGCTGTGGCGGAAGTTTTGGTCGTAAATTCATCATCTAAGTTTGTCTTCAGTAAAAGTCATCGAACAGTTATACGAAATTGAACAATACTTCTCACAATTCCCCTAGGGACGTTTCAAGTCGCTTGGATCGTTGTATAAGAGAATTTCCGTCTGCTAATACTCTCTTCGCCGAAGATGGATTTGCCTGGCCTCGAGGCAAGATCGTAGTGCGGGGTAAAAGCTTGAAAAATTGAAGGGTCAATATTGAAGTCGCGAGAACAACATAGCACTTTACTAGGAATGGTTTTTTAACTCATCGCAACCTCTGACGACTTCACTAGTGTGAATACTGGGATATTGAGTTTAAATCCAGGTTCTAGGTAAGTCACTGCCTCAGACGAATCTGATTAGCTTCGATGACAAAACGCGCAGGAACGACCCATGCTCTTCTCGCTTGTCCACCTCAAACACGCAAAATGCAAACAATATATGTTATCATGCTTACGGATGAAAGACATTGACTCTTTAGATTATACCCTGGAACGTATATCGATTATTAATCTGCATTGTGTGTATTTTAGACTTAACTTTAAAGATGCTGACGCAAGCTTCAAGTCCTTATCCCTCGCTTCGTGTACGAGAAAGCCGATATCTGTCAACAGCAATTAGCTAGATGCAGTAATAAATGATTGCAGGAGAGCAATGTCCTAAGTTTCAAGACATCATTCAGTAGTAATAATTTTTGAATTTCTTATTCGCGAAGTATTTGACTTTTACAGTTCTGCTGCTTCAAGTGGTCCCCCGTGTAATTATTCACTAGTATAGCCATCTTCCTCTTCTCACAGTGCCTGCAATGTGTTCCGTCTGATAGTAAATTGTCTGTGTACAGTAATAGACTTGTAATCCAACTTACAAGACCTACATTCATTTGTGCAACACCACACCCTAGCATTTCATCAACCCCACATCAACCCCACCACTGCCCACAACACCCAATTTCTTGAAACGCGAACAAACGGCTTTGACAATGTTAAATAACAGGGAAGGTCGGCATCAATAGATAATAAAATCTTCTGTGGCGCAATTGGCTAGCGCGTACGTGATTTAATCATCCCCACATTGTCATTCCATGGGTCTAATTGTTGTGCAGGTTCGACTGTTATACATCTGTTATTCAGGTCTCGCAATCGAGAGGTTGGAGGTTCGAGCCCTCCCAGAAGAGCTTTGCCTTGAGCTGTATACATCTCAGCTTTACTATTACTTTTATTACCTACTATGGTTCAGGATTAAATGTATCTTCCTCACGCTCCGGAAGCAATTCATAGTCGCCCGCCGTAAGGGTTGCACTAGCTCAACCGCCCATATGACACACTATATCTTTTGCTCAGACACCTACACCTTCAAGAGAATTGAGCTCTCAGGAGTCAATATTTGTACTAATGCAAAGCTGATTATGGAAGTTCTACTTACGTGCCAATGATTTGATATCGGGACGACTTTAATCGGAAATATCCCATTTTTTCCATCATCGAGTATTACAATAACCTGTAAACATTTGACATATTGTCTGTCTATTCAATCCTCCGAGATGATGGCAAATATTCGAAGTAAGGTTATCAACTGATGTGGTCTTTCCAGACGGTATCCAGGTCGGGATATCTCGACCATGAAAATCACTCTCTCCCGATACCCTAACGCTTTCAAGAAGAGGAAAAGATAAGCTGGATGAAGTGAAGCAACTTGAGATGCTGATAGATGGTTCTATGGCCCCAGGTTTGTGGCTCCTTAAAGCAGGGGCTTCTACGATACTTAAAAGTCACCCGGGTTAAAGACGCCCATTGGCAAATACAGAATGTGGTGAGAAAATTTGGGTACTTCATCATACAAAGACTTTCCATGCCATGAAACCTTAGTTCAATTGTGGACTGGATCCACGGGGCATAAAGTAGATTAGTCCAGTATATGTTTACTTCACAAGCGAGGTGGCAATAATTTCTCACCGGAGCAGACCACCGAAAGATCTGCCGGCAGGTGCAGATTTTCAAGTTCACGAGCGCATCTTACATTCGCATAGTGTGTTCATGGATCAAGTCAGCAAGCTTTACTCATACTAAAGTATTTTCTTTCTCTGCTAGCAATCGCTACAAAAACCAGGGCCTTCCTCCACATACGTCCCCCACGAGAAAGCGCTTTGTCATAGTGGATTGTTGACTCCGCCAAACATAGGATTCATATGCATAGATTCTCTATTTTCAGAAAGAACGTAATGCCATATTTCGCATCATCTGAATGAAATCACTTTGATCTCTAGCTGTAACAGACTGTCGGTGTTGGTTTCTAGAACTAACGAGGATATATGAGTTGGGACAACTTACCTATGTACTGCTAATACTGCTTGCCAGGGCAAATATGCTCATCTATCTCAGCCTCTCAATTTTGACGACTGGCGAAACTTTCAACACACTAACACCACGGATATAGTGGACGGTCTGGAAAGAATAAGTGTAGGCTATATTGACTGTTTTAGGCACACATACGTTTATTTTTTGCTTATGTGGCCGATTTGTTTTTGACAACCTTATCAACATCAGCTTTCTCGGCAGCCACCTTGACAACAGAGGCTCTCAGAGCAAGATTTGACTCTGTATTATTGCGACACCTTCGCCGTGTCAAAAATGAATTAAGGACATTCGATCCTACCAGCAGAATATATGTCAGGCATGACGATAGTCTATGCCGAATAAACTAAAAACATGCTGGGGAATGTTTTCATTGAGTAATTTTAGTGTATATACAGTGCTACCTCTCGAGTTAAGATTTAGTTCCATCAAAATATACCACTTCAACCAGAACTCGCAACAAGTATCTCCCTTTATAAGGAGTTTATTGTCTTTGAATCTGCGTAGAAGGTCTCGTAATTTTGTTCGGTCGATTGTAGAACACACTAGTGTATACTACCTGCAATGGTATTCAGTATGTAGTTGAATTTAGCCGAAGTGGAATAGGAACATAACTTCTCTTCATGTTTCTATTACCGAATCTACAAGTGACACCTATCTCAAGACAGAGAACCAACCAGGTCTGACCGTCAGCACACCGGTGAAGTTCTGTCTAGGATCACCCGATAGAGGTCTACAACGTGAAAATAATCCTCAGACTCTATAATATAACGTCTCCTCCCACAAATGGATCCCCTTTGCATCGTACGTTACTATATATCAACGATGTGAGAGCTGGACCTCTTCCGCAAACAATCTACTTTACTCTTTACCGCTATTTCCGGTTGAGTTAGTACATATTGAGTGGACCGACTCTCAAGGTGTAGGAGGAGAAACCCTAAATGTACTCTAAGAGTACGCTAGGTCGGTAAGTTCGGATAGGCATGAGATCGTATACAACCATTTTCCCTGAAAATTGTCTTTCTCGATACAATGATAAAGCCTCGAAGCTAGCCGTTAGATCTAACCGATGTGGAAAGACCGATCACATCTGTAAGCTGTAATATCTGACTTTTTCAAGGCCTAAGCCTACAGATTGCGTTGACGGGCGAGTCTGTCTATGTCTACCCCCTAGGACGCACTATACCGCAGCCCATTGGATTTTCCGCTTCCAGGTTTGCTCCAGTCTCTACATTCCCGCACCATCACTTTTTTATTAAATATATACATTACTAGTTTCATAGCACTTGGAGAATGAGAAGCCCTAGCCGTGACTAAAAGCGAGTAACAAACCACTGCCAGTAAGATAATCGCAGGTATCTCCCCAGCTTGACCAACCAAAATTCTTGTACAGGTTCCGTCTTCCATTACCAGTTCCATTTCGTCATCCATTTCATCATCTGCCCTTTCGCACCTCTCCTCAAACTCAGCAAGCAGGCGCTTCATCTTCTCCTGCTACTTCCCCTCGAACAAATCAAGATCAATAACATGTCCAAACAAAACCCTATCTCTCTCCTCTGGCTGCCGCAAGGTGATCTCCTTCAAGAACTTGCCGTGGCCGCGGTCGCCTAGGTGAAACCAATGCACGATCTGGAGGGTAATGTAGACGTACACTTGCACGAGGAATAGTGCCTTATCAATAAATCTGACGTATTCGGAGGGTAGCGGCGGGAGCTGTGGTCTAGAAGTAGTAAATCATTTCCTAACAAAGTGTTATGTGGTTTTGGCGACATTACTGTTATCATCAAATAAAGTCTTGAAATACTTTCGTGCCTTTAAAGTCTTCTATAGCGGGCAGTCCAGTCGCCCTTAATCAGCTACCCGCTTTTGGTATCGATAGTAGTGCCAGGCTCGGATTCGCGCTTGTGCGTGTGTGTGCCAATGCAAGTTGACGGTAGCCAGTGACCAAAAGCCTCTAGAACACTTTTCCAATATTTACTACCGCAAACGAGTCACAGGACTAGAAGCTATTCTACGTTATCAATCTCCATTGCTGAAATCTTGCTACTATACGGCCGACTACTGAATCTGTATATCAAATCCGTCTCCGTCTCCAGCGAACGGCAGAACGACCAGGCCCTACTCAAGATCGCGTTGGAACTCGATTCAAAGTCACGAAAAACATCTCAGGACATTGCCTGAGCTCGTATGTGAAATCTCAACAGACTTTCCGATAACATGAAGACTGAGAGAAAAAAAAAAACTCTTTGTGAAGATCTAGACTGCTCCGCTTCAGACGAAATTGTCTGGTGTCGAGTATCAACTACACAGAGGCTAACGACGGTAGCTTCGCTAGGTAACCACGACCTTAATATCCCTGACATCTTCTATACACCTATCCACCTACACATTACAGACATGTCTAAATGTTTGAAGAGGTGTCAATGCTCCGGTCGACGGCTGCGTGGCTTATAATACAAAGGACACTTGAGAATGGTTCCAAATCAGAGTCCTTTGGACGAGTAAGCAACTTCCTTTAATAGGTGAACAGATAGAGACCCCCCAATCTAGTGAAGAGGAAGAGTCCAGAGCTATCTTATTTAAGAAACAATATATGGGAAAGGTAGAATCTACTCCGAGACGAAACTCGGCAGGTAGATTTGTGGGCTATCCAAATCAGATATGAAAGAGTGTTATATTCGGGCTGCACGATTTTGATATGTAACTCTTTGTGATATCATCCTACTGTATCCGAACGAACTTGCCAAGCCTGGTACCCAGAACATCATCTTAGATCTTGATATCTTAATTGAGTGTGGTCTAAGCAACTTGTGATATCCTTCGAATTAATTGCATATAATCTCATCTGTCGCTAATCCAGCCAGGAAACATCTCACAGCCCTGCAGATCACTTCTCCCACACCCTCTGCGTCTCCAACTCCACATCTCCATACCCCATCTCCCTGCCCGCATAAAACCTACCCTTCCGCTCCATTTTCTTCTCCGTGACCCATTTTCTCAGCGTGGTCAATCCCTTCACAATAGCGAAAATGATAACAATCGCAATGGCAATGCCAAAACAATAGCCTACCACCGCGCCTTTACCTACACCTCCTACATTCCTCTCTTTTCCATCTTCGCCGATGATCTTGTTGACCGGATTTGGGTTGAGGAAGTTGTAGACGTAGTACCCTTTTGTGGCATGCGTGACATACGCGAGGCCTAGGTAACAGCCGAGGATGAGGATGAGGTAAATGAGGTGGATCCAAGGCGCGGGATTTATCCTCGTGAACACGATCTCGAATATTGCGAAAGCGGAGTTCAGGCCGTGTTGGGAGACGTTGCTCCAGAGCGCGAAAGGCGTTTTGAACGGGCCGATCGAGGAGTAGAGAATTCCCCAGTAGACGATGGTGACGAGGAACGGGAAGGTGGTTATTGTTGAGTAGAAGAGGTAGTGGAGAGCTTGGAGAGGGCGAGGGAGCCGGTTTAGGAGGGGGGTTCCGCCATGGAAGGCGTAGGTGAATGTGTGGAGGGCGGAGATGAGGAAGTAGAAACATATGCCCCAGTAGCAGAGGACTGGTAATGCGTTAGCTTGAAGTGTAAGGGTGATGCCGAGAGAGGACGTACTGGTGAAGAACGAAAATGAATTCCTGACATCCTTTGCGGAAAGACCGTTATGATCAGTCATCTCCCAGCCGATGATGAAGAATGTGACGACAAATGCATAGAGCGACTGTTTTAACCTGTTAGCTATATTCTCAATTTCTGGCGTGCATGCGCCTTGGGATGAGCGGAACGTACAATGGTAGCTCGGATCGCGAATAATACCCATGGTGGTAGTAAC